AAAAAAAAAAGTTTGATCAATTACTTATAATTACCATGGTTGGCAGTCGAGGCTCTACAAAGTTGAGCATCCCGATGTCGGCGCAGTAAATATGTGGAACCAGTTCCCGATGTCGCAGACTGTCAACACCAGCATGTGTAGGGTCGCCACAGATGATCGAGGGGAGGCGGATGCGGAGTACTAGCTGTGGTACCGTCGGGTTTCCATCCTACTGTCTTGGGTGAGAATCTGCCTGACGAGAGCGAGGTCCCTACGCGTGGGAACACCGACTATGTAAGTCGTTCGCAAACTTTTAATTAATAATGTTTGATTAGAATAAATTTTATTTTAATAAATAATAAGCATATATTTTTATTCTTCAATTTTTTTTTGTAGTGGATGGACCGTGCATTCAGCCTTACCTCGAGGACTCTGCGGGGTTTAACATCTCATGATCCTCTGCAGGCGGCGCAGTTATCGGACGAATTGGCTAAGCTTAGGTTGGATTACACCAATTCTAAATAAATGTGTAATGATGTTTTTTTTTGTAAGACATTATGCGGATTGATGTGCGTTATTTATTTTTATTAGACTACATTCGAACTCAAATATTCCATAAAAATAATGTGTGACCCGCGAGAAAAACAGAGACCCTTGTGGGTTAAGTCGCTACTCGCGACATCCTTTTTCTTTTAACAAGAATAAAATGAAAGCATATAATGAAAAAACATAATCATGTAAAAGTTTCCAACAACATAAAACCGAACACCGAATAGAAGAAAACATTTCACACATCATGGGTTATTTTGAGCATCAAACCATAATTACAACCTAGGCTGGTATTGATTCTCCCAATTCTCAACCGAAGCAGTTCGGTTACTGAATCACATACTATGAATAGGCGGTAATGGACAATCCATAGTCAAATCTAACCGAATGTAGTGTGCGTAGCTACCAAGATGACATATGCAAATCTCACGGCGTGGCCCTGTACTCGTTGATGCTGCAGCAAGCGGCAATACTGTGCAGCTGAACTGGTTGGACATACGACTATCGCGACCAGAGCTTAAAAGAACGACAACTACATTAAATAGGGTTGCAACAGGGTAGAGGTCGCATGGAGTTTCCATCCAGTGACCCTGGCCACAAGCGCCCCCATCCCACCTTATAAAATTAAAATATTAGCATTTGAATAATAATAATTATATATAAAATAAAAATAAATTTAAAATAAAAATATTAGCAAAATAATAATAATAATAATAAAAAGCGCCCCCGTCCCACCTTATCCGACAGAGTGCCCTGTCGATATCCCTGTAATAGATGTACTCGTACAAGGCACGGTGGTTGTAAATCTCATTGGCAACGTTCTCTCGTACGAGTTGCCACATCTCCTGGTCCCCGTAAATGTAACTCGCGATGACCCGCCATCCGCAATTCCCATTTGCTTTCACATTCAAGTAGCTCACTACGTAGTCCAACATATGCAAGGGAACACTGATGCGGTACTCAAAACTAAATATATTTGTCTCGGTACCAGCTGGAACATCATAATAATTTCACGTCACAATAAAATAATATAATTTTGTAAATTAACATTTCAATTAACGTTCAGCTGTATAAAAAATAAATGTCACCTTGGTGTGCCTCTTGTGACGGTTGAGAAGATTGGCTGGTTGTCGGTCCACGCGATGAAGTGCGTCCACGCGAAGAAGTGCGTCCATGCGAAGAAGTGCGACCACGCGAAGAAGTGCATCCACGCGAAGAATTGCTTGTACGACCTTGCGAATTATCCCTATACTCCCATCGCGATGCTTCACTCTTAGTAGAATCTGTTTTTTTGGGACGACCTCGCGTATTTTTCTTAACCTCCGGTTCTGCATATTCTTGTTGGTCCGGGTAAAGCTGACCGTAAATGAGGTTATTGCAGTACTGCATCGTCGCAGGATCGCTCGCTTCAACCTCTTTGACAAGCGTCCAAAAAAACTCAACATCTGTCCAGGCACCCTAATTATGCTGGCTCTGGTGATTTGTCCCTAAAAGTATACGATCAAAAAATTTAAACATTTAAACAAAGTAATATACTTTAATTTGTAATTTAAAATGAATCAGAAAGTAGAAAATTATAAATAAACATTAACCACAAATTACCTGGTTCTAACATCTCTAATGTCTTCCAGAACTCGTGGATCATGTTCATACCAATCGCCATTTTAGAATCATGTGCTTTACGAAGCGTACATGCACAAGGAATTCCATGTGTGGTAGGCAATAAACAGCCGCAGCGCAAGTAAACTTTATAGCTCAAGTCTCGCATCCTTGTCAGCTCATCGTTCAATAAATTCAGACAGTAATGCGAGACTCTCAATGTCAAGCACGCGAAAGGCAATCCCGTATATGTCGTACTCTTCCTAAGTCTCGGAGACTCAAGTGCTGTCCTGTTAATACATTACAAAACAATTTGTTATATATAACAAATTATAATATAATATACTTATATAATATAATATACTTTAATATAATATAATATACTTATATAATATAATATAACAAATTATAATATAATATACTATACTTATATAATATAATATACTTATATAATATAATATAACAAATTTTGATATAATAAACTATACTTATATAATATAAAATACTTATATAATATAATATACTTATATAATATAATATAACAAATTATAATATAATATACTATACTTATATAATATAATATACTTATATAATATAATATAACAAATTATAATATAATATACTATACTTATATAATATAAAATACTTATATAATATAATATAATATTTTATAATATAATATACATATATAATATAACAAATTATTATAATATAATATAATATACTTATATATAATATATTTCAGTGGCTTTTTTTATTTATTATAATTATTTCATAAGTAATAAAATGACACATTTCGTTTTTGAGGAATGTACCTGATTTCAGTCAATTGAGACTCGATCTCCTTATCAATCTTATGCCACACTGTATCGAGCGCGCCGGTCGACATGTGAAGCCACTGCTTCAACACAGAGTGAGCACTTTCCACCCTACAGGTAAATGTGTTGCGAAAATGTGTTACTTGGTTCGTCCAGGCTTTCACAAACTTCTCCTTGTGGCCTAGCCACGTCTGCTCGAGATATTGTACCACTTGTGAGCCATTCCCGTATTTTGCATTCAATTGAGCTATGGCAGTGTCGTACTCATCCGACGTACTGACATCTGTAATCGACTTCCACCGACCGCGCAAGAACCTCTCAGATAATTTTTTATTTTTCCCAAACAGGTTGTACACTTTGTTTTCCAATCCTTGTTGATGTGCCACGTGCAGAGTAAGTGGGCAGATTGGGAAAAATGCCTCCTAATAGGAGTCATTAAGCCCAACTCTCTGTCACTGACAACAGCATTAGGATGCAGCTAAGCAGCGGCAAAAGTTAGTGAGACACGCCAAAAAAAGCTCAAATTTTTTTACCATATTGCACAAAGTATTTTTATTACTATATAAATTAATCGTGTACTTCATATAAATCCTTACCGCATAGCCTATGAGAAGTCTCAACTTGTCGAGAACCCAATCATAACTGGCCTCTTTCTCGTCCTTCATGAGGGCATATGCAATTAGAAAGTTATTGTTGCACGGCGTCATGCCAATCATCTTGACCAACGGCATCTTGTACCTGTGAAAATGAGACCAAAAGACAAAAATTATAATCACATAAAATTTAATCCAAAATACAAATTTAAATTAATACTAATAACATATCTGTAAATTTAAAATACATGTTGGTTTTGTACGTCGAATCTATGCCGACAAACCAATATTATGTCCGGAATAGACTCACTGAATCAGGATGGGCCATGAATATGTGTGTCAGCGCATTTGTATTCGGATCGACATTTGTATAAACTATATACTTGTTGCTGCTAGCCAAATGTAGAAGTTGGGTAGGAACGTCCCTACCCTCAAAACTTTCCTTACGCAACCAGTTTCTATAGTTATATATATGTCGCCGATTAACATGGTCGTGTGGATTTTTTTCCTGGACGGCGGCCAAAATATTTGCTGGTGTCGCATGCGCAGCAGTCATATCACGAATAATATTTTTCGATGACTGGCTGATGCCGCTCGACTGTCGATGGCCCTCAGGATACACAGCAAACGAATGATTATGGTATCCCTTCGTTTCGTCTTGACTCGTGTGGATCATCCAGCATGTCGATCTGGCAACACGCTTTACTTGTATCTCTAAAGGACACTGGCACGCTTTCGTTTTTGAATGTCTAGAAACAGCTTTATTCATATCTACGTTTTTGCCTCTATAACGTTCGCCTCGGTTGCACTTCAAGATCTTCAGCCTTCCAGGTTTTTTGTGTTTCGAAATACTAAAAAAGAAACCATTCAGAATTGCCGTACTTTTTGCATCATTAATAGCCTCCTCATCTCTAATAAACAGCGTAGTTGTATTGAAAGCGGAACGGTAATCAATACCATCTCCTCCAAAATCTTCTAAAGACACCTGCAATGTATTTAATAATTTTAAAACATTTAAAAATAGAAAAAAATAAAAAAAAAAATAAAAAAATAATGTCCGGTCGGTCGGACCGGCCAGACCGGGTTTAAACCGGCCGTCGTGGCCGGACACCAAGTGGGCCGTACGGCCGGTCTTTTAGTACATAGACCGGTCCGTACGGCCTGCTTTACCGCACGACCATGGTGTGTCCGGTCGAACCGGCCAGACGCCTTTTAGGCCGTCCGGTCCGGTCGATCGGACACCGCCGGTTGCGTGCTACTTTTCTAGCTAGACGATTTTTTTTACCTCTGACCTACTGGACATATTGCTGGACACAACAAATGAAAAAGGCAAAATCGTCTAAAGGGGCGGTGACTAGTAATAAATAGCGGTAAATAGTAATGTCCTATATTTTATGGTTTTAAAAAAATAGTCTACTTGTTCTTTTCCTGCAGTACAAGTGGTTAAGTGCTCACGACGGCGATGGACGGTAGCGGCGGAGCCACCACAGGAAACTGGACGGAGATGGTAGAAGACCTTGTGCATAGCGGAGAAATCGATCGAGCTGTATCTTTTCTCGAATCCATAATCCCCAATCTCGAAAATGAAGTGGAAAAAGAACAGCTTCAAAACAAAAATGGTGAAAAATCCGGCTCTGGCGCAGCTGATCGGTTGTGCACTGCTCTTGAAGACCTTTCCAGGCTTTATGCAGCTCAAGGTTTATCTCTAAGAGCCGATCAGACTCAGTCGCGTGCGCTCCAAATCAAACTCAGAAAACTGTGAGTTCCGTCTTACCCTTTTCTTTCCCCTTTTTGGTGGCCTTGATTTCAAAAATATTGTTTTTATACCCTAAATCAAAATTATTTCATCTTATTTGCTTATATGATAGTTGAGTATTCCAGAATTGTTTCCCTATTATCTGATTCTGTTGTTCTTGGAGTTTCTTGATTATTTTATGGGAATTTTATTCATTTCTTTATTTCCTTTCATTAGTAGGCATTTGAGTATCCTGTGAAAAAAAATTGTATAATGTTTAAGAAGTTAAGTTCATGCAAATTAAATGCCTGAGTTAGAGCATAGGAGATGGATGTTTGATTCTTTTAGTGATTGTATGGTATCTGGGGAAATGAGACAGGCTAAAAGATGAACTTTCTATTTTCCTAGGTGAATTTCACCCTACCTATATGGACATTGGTCACATGAGGTTTTTTACCGTTTGATCAATAAACATTCACACCGATGTCTGTGATCCGACCGATAAAAACCCCATGTGGGCAGTAGGGTCAAACTTACCACTGCTACTGATTTTTTGGTTTTCCAATGATTGATCCTTGCTATTCAGGGAGTTTGGTGTAAGAAAGGGTTCAACATCCAACGAGAATGCTGAAGATCGGATTTCACAAGATGGTGCTACTACTTTGGACGGAATTGCTGAAGATGGTTTGTATTAATTTAATCTCTTGCTCTTCTTCTAGTTTAATTTTCTTGTTATGTAATGTATTCTTTTGTCATTGTTCTGTTGGGGTTAATGGTTTTTTTCTTTTACCTTGTCAACTGGGGTCAATACTGCTATCTCTTACTTGTTTTGCGCTTTGTTATTTATTTTGAAGTAATTTGTTACTTAATCTTGTTTTATGAAGGATTTAGCGAGAATTCTGAAAATCTTCACTCTGATGGCATCCGACATGACAGTGGTGGAGTTGATGGTATATATT